CTCACTACACCCACTTCCAGAGGGCAGGTTAAACATTGTGGAAGATCAAACAGGATTGCTCCATTCATCTGCTTGTGTCAAGAGAGCATTGCTTGTCACATGCCTTCACAGTGACACTTGGATCTGGCTGATGACCACAAATAGTTCTAACAAGCTTGAGCATTTTGTTGTTGTTGTGAAGTGCCATCGAGTCAAATCCGACCCATAACAACCCTGTATAGAGTTTCCAAGGAGCAGCTGGTGAGCTCGAACCGCCAACCTTGCAGTTCAAATGGCTTTGCAGTCTGGCGTATTAACCCACAGCTCCACACCGCATGTTGTTAAGTGCCGTCGAGTCGGTTCCAACCCATAGCGACCCTGTACAGGGTTTCCGAGGGTGTAAATCCTTACGGGAGTAGAAAGCCTCATCTTTCTCCCGCGAAGCGGCTGGTAGTTTCGAACCGCTGACCTTAAGGTTTGCAGCCCAATTCGTAACCACTACGCTACCAGAGCCGCATAGGTAGTGTTTAATTTAAGATCCGCTAAAATGAATGGCTCAGCTCCAGATGTGAGTTCTTCCTTTTGCCACAGGGTTTAGGGATCCATATGAAATATAAAGGCTTTTTAAGAAAACTTAGGAAAAAAATAGATGGATGAGTGAAAGGGCTTCAACAGCTTTGGGGAGATATGGAATGAAAATGTATGGGATTTTCTCATGAACTTTTTGAAGCCCCCTGGAATGTTTATGAAAGAACATGTGATAGAGTGAGTGGGACTTCCATACTGGTACAAGACTTCATCATACCTCGTTTTAGCTTTAGTGTGTTTAATGTGTGTTGGGGGCATTGATGGCCATGGTAGAATTTTGCCTTCCAGGCAGGAGATCAGGGTTAAATGATCAGCCATCTGTCAGTGTTAGAGGAAGTGTTGCTGTGATTCTGAACTGGTTTCAGTGGAGTTTCTAGGCTCTGAAAGATTAGGAAGAACGGTCTGGCACTGAAAAAAATCAGGCTGTGAAATCCCTGTCAGTCACTCTGGTCTCATCTACATCCAGCCATGGGGATGGTGCAGGACTGTACACCATTGTTTTTATTGTGTGAGGAGCTGCACAAGTCAGAGGCTTAATCCACAGCAATTTACCACCAACAATAACAGTAGTGTGTGTTTCATGGGTAATAATTTCAGTAAAACCTGATTCTTCTCAGGGTGTGTGCACAAACACACAGACTTCTTTAGATAGTCTTCACCTTTGTGTTTTGGAAAGACAAGAAGAACAATTAAGATTATTCCCACTGTAAAGAAAAATCAGTCAACGTGCTCTGGGTTCTCCTTAGGTACCAGGCACCCTGCTGAATGCATGATGTCAGGAATACAGAAATCAGGTTATATAAAATTGCTAAATATTTTCTTGTGTTCCATTTTTTAAACGGTATTAGTCATGGATCTTGCTCGTTTTCTTTTTTCTTTCTGTATTTGACTTAACATTGCATGTACAGTTCTGGACATGACGTTTTCCCCCTCAACAAACGTTTGAAATCTAGCATCACTTACTTTGTTGGTTTTGTTTTACTGTTATGAAATATTGCATCATTTTTAATAGGCTCACTTTATTTATCCACTCCCCTATAATGGAGTCTGGTAGTGTAGTGGTTATGAGTCAGGTTGCTAACCCCAGGGTCAGCAGTTTGAAACTACCAGCTGTTCCATGGGAGAAAGATGAGGCTTTCTGCTCCCATCAACATTTACAGCCATGGAAACCCTATACAGGGTTTCTATGAGTCGGAACCGACTCCACAGCACACAACCACCATCACCACCATAGTGGGCATTTGACTTGATTCCAGTTAAAACCAAACCAGTTGCCTTTGAGTCAATTTTGACTAAGAGGGCTCCGTTGGTGTCAAAGTAGAACACACATCCATAGGGTTTTCAATGACTAATTTTTGGCTACTTCTAAGGATCACAGAAAATCATAGGATCATTAGATTCAAAATGGCCATTATCAGTGCATTTCAGTTCACTGATGCCTACGGCATTGATCTTTATGCATTCCATTTCTTTTTTATGACTCCCAATTTTCTAAGATTCAAACTTTGTACATTCCACATTCTGATTATTAGTAGATGTTTGTAGCTATTCTTAATTTGAGTTGTGCCCCACCAGCAAGTGAAGGTCCCAAATGCTTTGCACCATCCATATCATCAAGGTCAACTCGATTTTGAGGAAGCATCTCTTCCTGAGTCACATTTTCAGTGCCTCCCAACCTGAGGGGCTCATCGTCTAGCACTATATCACACATTGCTTCACTGCTATTCTTAACATTTTATGGGGTCTAATCCTTCAGAAGTGGACCATCTCTTGTTTCTTCCTCATCTGTTCTTGTCTGAAAGTTTGTCTACCATGGGTGACTGTTAGTATTTGAAATACCAGTGGCTTGTCTTCCAGCATCACAGCAACACACAAGCCACCAAAGTATAACAAAAATTGTAACCTAGTGCTTGAAAACATCTCTTGGTTCATACTGAAATTTAAAAAAATCTATTATTGTGAATTGAGCCAAGGTGTACAGAGCTCAGATCATCAGTTTTACATTCAACAAATCATATGCTTTGTATCATGTAGAATAGGTACTCTGAACCACAAGGTCAATGGTTCAGACTCACCAGTCTCTCCTCAGAAACCTTATACAGGGTCACTATGAGCTGGAACCGACTCAGTGGCACTTAAAAACAACAACAAACTTTTTATTGTGAATTGAGCCCTAGGTTTACAGAACATATCATCAGTTTTACATTTAAAAAATCATATGCTTTGTATTGTTTTTGTTGTTAGGTGTCATCGAGTCAGCACCGACTCACAATGACCCTGTGCACCACAGAACTAAATACTGCACAGTCCTGGGTCAGCCTCAGAATCGTTGCCATACCTGAGCCCATCACTGTCGCCACTGTGCCAATCCATCTCGTTGGGTCCTCTTTTTCTCCAACCCTCCACTTTACCAAACATGATACCCTTCTCCAGGGACTGGTCCCTCCAGATAATATGTCTGAAGTATGAGAGACAAAGTCGGGCCATCCTGGCTTCCAGGGAGCATTCTGGCTGCACTACTTCCAACACAGATCTGTTTGTTCTTTTAGCAGCCCATGGTACTTTGTATCATTACAGTGATTATAAAACCCTCTGTGTTCTATTAATTAATTAACAGTGGTTACAAATTGGGCTGCTAACCTCAGGGTCAGCAGTTAGAAACTACCAGTTGTTCTGCAGGAGAAAGATAAGGCTTTCTGCTCCTGTAAAGACTTACAGCCTCGGGAACCCTGTACAGGGTCACTGTGAGTCAGTACCGACACTCCACGGTACATAACAACAACAGCAGAGCAACCTCACTTTAGCTCTCAGGCTGATGTATTTTTAAAGTTCCATTCTATAGCCACAATCTTAGACTAGGTTCCCTAAAGAAGCAAAACCATCGAAACATATATGCATATATACAAAGAGACGCTTATATCATGGAAATGGCTCACAATTTAGAGTCCCAGGTCCCCAGCAGAAGAAACAGAGCAAGTTTGCCTGCATGTCCATTCTATTGGGAGCAGGCCACACCCCCAAGGAAAAATTCTCCAGTTGATTGGTTGCTCATAGCCAATCATGACAGAGTTAACGATGCCTGTATCAGGTTTCATCACCACAGGGATAACTACATCTCAACTGCCTAATCACTGGGAATCCTGGTCCAGTCAGTTGATACAAAACTTTAACTCTCACAGACAATGACTGCTAAAATTAGATCCAGCTTTGCATCTGAGAAACATGTGTCTAAAATCTTACATTATGTTGCATTATGTTCATATGTAAAAGGAATTGGCATATTGTAATAGCATGTAGGATGAAAGTTAAGTCAACTCATCCTTTCCACAAACATTTGTTAAGTGTTTTGTACTAGGCACTAGGATTACAAAGATAAAGAGATTTTATAGTCACTTTGTACTGTCAGGGAATGAGGTGCTTAAGCCAGTGGTCTTTGTTAATACTATAATAGTGAATGCTTTAAGAAATGTAAGAAAACAGAAGAAGAATATAATTTTACTTTTGTTAAGGATGGGAAGGTGTTCCTGGGTGTTGCAATCAGTTAAGTGTTGGATTACTTAACCAGTAGGTTGGTGGTTTGAACCCACTCAGAGCTGTCTCAAAAGGAAGGTCTGGTCATCCAAAAGGTATGCAGCAGTTCTCTGCACACATGGGATCTCTGTACACAGAAACAGGTTTGTTTTTGTGGACTGATGACAATGAATATTAGAAAGTCATCAAATTCAAAGGCTAGTAAATGCTGAAGTAAGTGTTTTTAAATCTTTTTATACCTTTCTTCTTAGCCTGTTTCCAAAAACTGCAATATATAACAGTTTTACATAAGAGCCTGTCCCTGCCCCCCTCTACATGATAGGCCTGTGAATCTTATCACAACACTGTTGATGGTAAGGGCTATTGAGTTGGTTCCGATTCATAGCAGTCATGTATAGAGTTTCCAAGGACTAGCTGGTAGCTTTGAACTGCAGTTAGCTGTCCATGCTTATCTGACTGTGCCACACTAGGATCCACCATTAGCAAATGGCATTCACAAGACACTGTGCTAGATGCTGAGGGGACATCAGGGTATGAATGATGTTAGTCAGAAGGTCAGAATCCATATGGGGAGATAAAACTTCCATAAAGCTGATAATGGAAAGGAAACTTTAATGCCTAGGGAAATGAATTAGAAGAGAATTAGAATCATAAACCTATCCAGGAAATGTGCTATAGTTTAGAAGAGTAAGTGAAATTGTATATGTTAACCTTTTAAGTCAGAGTGCTACTTTTGGTAGGTATGCAACACACTTTTAACATGTTTTTGGATTGAAAGAATATTGCTCGTTTGTTCAGGAACTCTTAATAAAGCTATATTAAAAGCATTTTTTTCCCTCTCTCTCTTTAATTTTGGTATTTAAATTTTTTATTTTCTATTATTATTTTGTTTTGCTTTTTAGGTCAGGAGGTCGTTTTCAAGTGCCTCGGGGAAGGAATTCTTGAAAAAGCCTTCCAGGGGTATAATGCTTGCATTTTTGCATATGGACAGACAGGTAAGATATTAAATATGCATTAATAAACATGTAAAAATAGAAAACACTTGGGAAGCTGCAGAAAAAAAATACTTCTAACTCTGAATTTTCGATGATCAAAAGTAATCGTCTTTTGAAGGTTCAGCAGCTTTGGTAATTGGGTAATTTCAGTGTTAATGAGCAAAACTAGTTTAAAACTATTAAGTGTCATTTTCCAAAATTATCATTTTCACTTGTACTTAAATTAGAAAATAATTACCAGTCTCTCAGTATAAATGTTACAATTAAAACCTGTGGAAAACCCGTAGTCTCATTTTATCTTGGACTAGAGTGCAGTGGTGATAAATTATTAAAGGTAAGTTTATGGCACAGATGGTTGAAACAAATAAGACAAAAAACACATATATATGTTGTTAAGTGCTGTCAAGTTGGTTCCAACCCATATGGACCCTGTATAGGGTTTCCGAGGAGTGGTTCGTGGTTTTGAACCATCAACCTTGCAATTCAAACTGACCTTAAAGTCCAGCACCTTTTCCTGCAGCACCACACCAGGTTGTGTGGAGAGATAGCAATCCTGTATAGGGTTTCCAAGGAGTAACTAGTGAGCTTGAACCGCCAACATTGCGATTCAAACCGACCTTGCAGTCCTGCGCATTAACCCACAGGGCCACACCTGGACTTGCTCCACATATATACATACACACATATACCCGTGACTCAGCCATTAATACTCTTACCTAATAGTCGTTCAACTATGTTGTTATTGTTACATTCTGTTGTGTCCATTATTGACACACAGTGACCCATGTGAACTCCCATAGGGCTTTCTAGGTTTTAATCTTTATAGAAACAGGTTGCCAGGTCTTTCTCCTTCATAGTGGCTGGGTAGGTTCAAACGGCCAGCTTTTTGGTGTGCAGCCTAGCACTTAGCTGTTACACCTCTGGGAATCCATTTTTCAACTATGAAGTGAAAATAAATCAATAAATCGTAACAGTCCTTCCTTGTACCACATCACCAGATACCTAGAAGACTCAGATAAGGCAATATATTGCAAAGAATTTTTTGTTTTAACTTTTCATTATGCATTGAGTGAAGGTTTACAGGAAAAATCATCAGTGTTACTTTCAACAACTCTTACACTTTGTTTCATCTCGATGATTACAATCCCCTCCATGGAACAACAGTTAAACCCTGCTTCCTCCCTGTGATTCTGATTTCCATTCAACCCACCTTCCCATCCTTCTCAACTTTGTCTTTAGGTAAATGTTGCCCTTTAGATTTTGAATGGTTCACCATTCCATGGGGAGCGTACCATACCAGTGTTGGTGTCTCCGCCATATGCCTATGTACTGTTTGGCTGAAAATTGGGCCACAAGGGTCAGTTTCCTAAGGGTGGTCAAGGGCCATAGTGTCTGGTTCCTCCAGTCTTTTTCTGACCAGTAAGCCTGATCTTTTTAAAATTATTATTCATTTTGAGTTTTCTTCCACATTTTCGCCCACTCTATCCAGGACCTTGTAATGTGATCCCTTTCAGAGCAGTTCCGGGTGCCATCTAGTTGTCAGTACATTTTGACAAATATAAAATACTGTACAAAAATAACTACAAGGTCGGCAGTTCAAGCTCACCAGCCACTCCTTGGAAATCCTATACAGGTCGCTATGTGTCAGAACAAACTCCACGGCACTTAACAACAACAACAACAATTCAAGAATAATATGAGGCTTCAAAAAGTTTGTGAGAAATCCCATTATCTTTTAATCCATTTTCCACAAACTTTTGGGATCCTGTTCGTATACTGTTTTTACAAAAAAGCATAATATATGGTTCATGTTATTTAATAATGTGTGTTGTTGTAAAGGGCCATGGAGTCATTCTGACTCACAGCAACCCTGTATAGGGTTTCTAAGGCTTTAAATCTTTGCAGGAATAGAAAGCCTCATCTTTCTCCCACAGAGTGTCTAGTGGGCTCATACCTCCAACCTTACGGTCTGTGTTCCAGTGCTTAACATTTGTGCTTATTGTGGAGCTGTGGATTAGCACTGGACTGCTAACCATAATGTCTATGGTTCAAACCCACCAACTGCTCCTCAGAAACCCTATGCAGGGTCACTGAGTTGGAACTGACTTGACTTAATAACAAAATTACAACATTCTTTTAAAATTGTCTATTTTTAGTATATACTCATCCATCTGTAGACTAGGTGCCCTCTGACTCTTGCCATGAGAATCCAAGATTGTGAGAGAAGTAGAAAGAAAAGTTGCTTTAGCATCTGAGAGCCTGATTCAAGGCCCGAGTTTGCCACTTCTCTGCTGTGTGACTTAGGTTGGGGAATTTAGAAAACTTGCGTGCTTGAAGCCTCACATTTTGTTCCTCTTCTACCCTTCCTTCTTCCTGTTTGGTCTTCTCCAGGTTCAGGGAAATCCTTCTCCATGATGGGCAATGCTGAGCAGCTGGGCCTTATTCCCAGACTGTGCTGTGCTTTATTTCAAAGGATCTCTGTGGAGCAAAATGAATCACAGACCTTCAAAGTCGAAGTGTCCTATATGGAAATTTATAATGAGAAAGTTCGGGACCTTTTAGACCCCAAAGGGTAAGTTACTGGTTGAAAGTAAGTCATAATAGAGGTTATCTTTTAAGTGATCCTTAAGTTAAAATTGGAAGTTGAGAACTTGGACATTTTCTGAGCAATCATTAGCCTCTCAGAACCTGTCAGTCTACCCAGTCCACATGCAGGCTTTCCTGTGTTATTTTTGTTGTTAGGTGCCATCGAGTCTGTACCAACTCATAGCGACGCTGTGCACAACAGAACAAAACACTGCCCAGTCCTGGGCCAACATCACAATTGTTGCCACGCTTGAGCCCATTGATGCTGCCACTTTGCCAATCCATCTCACTGGGGGTCTTCCTCTTTTTCTCTGACCCTCCACCTTACCAAACATAATATACTTCTCCAGTGACTGGTCCTTCCTGACAGACAGTATGTTCAAAGTATGAGAGATGAAGTTTGGCCATCCTGGCCTCCAAGGAGCACTCTGGCTGTACTTCTTCCAACACAGATCTCTTGGTTCTTTTGGCAGCCCATGGCACTTTCAATATTCTCCTCCAACACCATGGCTCAAATGCATCAATTCTTCTACAGTCTTCCTTATTCACTATCCAGCTTTCTCATGCAGATGAGGTTACCAAAAATACCCTGGCTTGGGTCAGGCACACCTAAGTCCTCAAGCTGACATCTTTGCTCTTCAACACTTTAAAAAGGTCTTGTGCAGCAGATTTACCTAATGCAATACATTGTTTGATTTCTTGATTGCTGCTTCCATGAGTGTTGATAGTTGATCCAAGAAGAATGAAGTCCTTGAAAGCTTCAATCTTTTCTCCGCTGATAATGTTGTCTATTGGTCCAGTGGTGAGGATTTTTGTTTTCTTTACATTGAGATGCAATCCTAACCAAAGGCTGTGCTCTTTGATCTTCATCTAGTCATGTATAATTTTGTTAACATATGTTTTTCTATTGGTATTGTTTTTGCCATGGTGGCCTAGTCCTAAAAATGGACTTAAGATTGCCACATTGGTCCTTCATTTACATTGGAAAAAGTGTCTCTAAATTCAAGAGAATGTGTTTGTTGAACCAGAACAACTCAACCCAGGCAACTAGCTTTCTGCTTTGTGCATTGGGCTCCTGGTGGGAACTTTGTAAAGACACCCAGGCCTGATCCCCACCCATGGTGAGCTCTAGCTTTCTGACGTTTTTAAAAAGTCAGTGGTAAAAAATAAATTCATAAAGAAATTATGAATTAAAAAAAAATTTTAATTAAAAATTTTTTTTGAGTGCTGATTTAAACATAATAAATCTTTATACAAAATTTAGAAAATAGGTAAATTATAAAAAGATAGAAAATGAGCTGTACTCCCACCACTCAAAGCTTTTAAAAATTAAAAACACTTGGCAGTCAAGTCCGTTTTGACTCATGTCAACCTCATGTAGAACTGTAAGGTTTCCATGGGATGACTTTTTTGGAAGTAGATTGCCAAGCTTTTCTCCCTAGGTGCCTCAGGGTGGACTTGAACCTCTAGCCTTATGGTTAGCGGCCATGCACATTAACCATTTGCACCACCCAGGAACTCACAGTAATTGTAGCTCTTTATTGTTGTTTTTTTCTCACTGGAGTAATGTCAAGCATTGGCTCTTGATTTTAAAGGTGAATAGTATGTGACAGCAAGAAAAGATGGTAAACATGTAGACTTTGTGTTTAATCTCAATTCTGTCTTGACAAGCTGTTTAAAGGGACCTCAAACTAGTTTTACCATTTACTAATTAAAATTTTTAAATATAAAGAAAATTCCACCTCATAACCTGGATTAACCTGGGGAACATTATGCTGAGTGAAGTTATTCAGTCACAAAAAGACAAATATTGTGTGAGACCACTACTGTAAAAAGCTAAGAAAATGTTCTCATGCTGAAAGAAAGATTTTTTGATAGCACGCCTTATAAAGACGCACAGCTTCGGAAACCCTATACGTGGTTGCTGTGAGTCACAGGCAGCAAGGGTGGGAGGGAAGGGATAGTGATTCACTGGCAAGAGGGTGTCGTCATTGTTGTTAAGTGCTGTCAAGTTGATTCTGACTCCTAGCGACCCTCTATAGGGTTTCAGAGAAGCAGCTGCTGGGCTTGAACTGCTGACCTTGTGAATCAAAGTCCAGGGCTGATCCTATAGCACCACACCAAGAGTCCGGCTAGAGGCTGGTGGTGGTGAAGTGCTGTAATAAATACCAACTAAACTGCAATACCATATGATGTTTAAAATCATCAGTATAAAGCAGCATAAAATAATTCTGACTTGAAGTTTAAGGCGTTTTAATATTGTTCACCGTTTGGTAACATTTTTCAAGATATTTTTTACTAAGAATTTGTTCGTTTACAAAATAGCCTTAGTAAAAAAGTTAAATTCAAAATTACCACATGACCCAGAAATCCCAATCCTGAGTATGTTATACAAAGAGGCTTCAAAAGTTTGCGGGAAAATGGGATTAAAAGATAAATGCAGTTTTCCATGAACTTTTTGACACGGCCTCAGACACAAAAGAATTGAAAGTAGGAATGCAGACAGAAGCTTGTACCCTATAGTTCATTGCAACACTCACTGAATGTTCTTAGTAGTCAAAATATCGAGCTAGCTTAACTGTATAGCAACAACGCATGGTCTGTGCATACAACAGACTATTACTCAGCCATAAAGAGAAAAAAGTCCTGATAATCATATACTATGGATGAATCTTTAAAGCATTATGCAGTGTACAGTAAGTCACACAAGAAGAGGTACTGTTTGATGCCTCTTGTATGAAACATGCAAGTGCATGGAGACCAAAGTTATCAGTGGTTATTAGAGTTGGGAACTAGAGGAAGAAGGGGAGACATTGCTTAGGGTCCACCAGGTATCTGTTGGTGGTGGGATAGTTGTACATGTAAAAACTGCTGAAGTGACAAATGTTTTGTTTCATACATAGTTTTCCTACAGTAAACCAGTTTGAAAACCAAAACATCCTTAATGTTAAATTCAATCTGACCCTATTGTTGCCTCACTTTTTGTTTTTTCTTCTCTCCCCTACCCCTCATAGGCAGTATTTCATATTTGTGATGCTCATTGCCTAAAGCTAGTTAGCATAACCTAGTATACCGTCCTGTCGGCTGTTTAGTTTGAAACTAGAGAAAGAATTTTTTAAATACTAAGTTACTTTAAATAGAAATTGGAACATAAGACATCCCTCGTATGGAATGCTGTTTAGCTAATCCAAATAAAGTAATTTTTTGAATATTTCTGTTCATTTAAAACAACAACAACCTTTTGAAATTGCTATCATAATTTTTGTGTACTTATAAAGAAAGAAAAGCTTCCAAGATTGGTCTGATTCATTCATTCTCTTTTCTTCTTTCCCAAAGGAGTAGACAGTCTCTTAAAGTGAGAGAACATAAAGTTTTGGGACCATACGTAGATGGTTTATCTCAGCTGGCTGTTACAAGCTTTGAGGTAAGTTATCAGTAAAAAAAAAAAAAAAAATTTTAAATCAGCAGTACATCAGAGTATAACTAATATTGAATATATTTTTATGATGATACTTTATATAGCACAGTGATATAATTAGTTGTTAAGTTCTGGTTGAGTCTGTTCTGACTCTTAGCGACCCTGTATAGTGTTTCCAAGGAACAGCTTCTGGGTTTGAACCACCAACCTGTGGTTAGCAGTTGGTTGCTTATCCTACTGCGCCACACCAGGACACCTAGCACAATCTTCAAGTTGTGTAACCCCTTCACAATTGATGCACTCGGGCAGTTTCTGAATTTCAAGATGAAATTTGTAGTATCTCAGAAAGTCATTCTGCACCTTGAGGAGCATCCCCTGGGATTTGTGCCCTGTGAGTAAGTTCTCCCCTCTGACTCCTCTGTATGCCTGCTTTGCATCAGAAAGGCTGCATCACACCAGGTGAATAAAAATGGCTGGTGGTACTCTCTTCAAAAGCCACACTGGGTATCTGCTGTGCCTGTCATACCTTTAGATACACCTCTGATCAGCACACGCCAAACAGGGACAAAGGACTTTTCATTACAAGCTCTGTTTACAGTGTGACTGAAACACCCAACATTCCGAGGCTGTTGAATCTTTTCACTAACACCACTGTTGAAACTGTTCTCCGGCAAGTTTCCATGTGATGTCCTTCTAGACAAATCTGGTAGCCTAAACAGTATCTAACTCAGCGCTTTCTTCTTGACAGCATGTCCTGCCTCAGCTCACATTATTTTTCACTCTTCAGGTTCTTCTCTTTTTCGGAATCACTCCTTGTCCCACTGGCTGACTTGCTTTCTTTACCTACTCCTTAACTTTTATGCCTTTTAATGACCTGGCTCAGTGTTTTACTCTTACATCTAAAATCCTTGCTTTGGAAATCTTTAACATATGAACAGCTATCTCAGTTGCTGAAGAATGCAGATGGATGAATAGATATACTTACTGATGTTACCTGAATTCTCAGCATCTCAAACTCAGTCTGATGATGATTAATTTTACCTTCAAAGTCATCGTCTCCAGCCATATAAATGGCTGCTCTAAGTTTTGCTCAGGTCAGAAATATGGGCAATCTTCTCTTTAAAATTGTTCAGATTCCTAAGTAAATGGAATAAAAATGTCTCAGGTAAAAATGCTGATTCACACAGTGAGTCTGTAGAATTCGCAAATGCCTTGCCAGGGAACCTTAATTTTAGCTCATTGTGGTTGGGTTTTGTGTCCATCTCATCCTACTTTCATATCAGGGAGAGCCAGGGAGCTTGGGATTTGTAGCATAGCTCTGCCTCTTATTAGCTGTGGGAAAAGTTATTTAACTTCCATGTTCTACAGTGCCGTTGTGTGTAAACTCGAGAAAATTCCTCTTTCGTAAGGTTCATTCATCTAACATTTTATAAGAACCTCTAGGCTCCAGGTATTCTAGGAACAAGTGTGCCACTGACCTTGGAGAACCACAGTGTTGGGGGAGAGGAAGAAGAACAGCATGGCTGGGAAGTACAGGAGAGTTAGAATGTTACCTGTAAGAAAATAAACAAAACCAAACTGCCATCAAGTTGATTCCGGCTCATAGTGACCCTGTACAGGGTTTCCCAGGCTATAAACCTGTGTGAGCAAAAAGTCTCATCGTTCTCATAGCAACCTTGTGTACAACAGAATGAAATACTGCACACTCCTGCGCCATCCTCACAATCATTGCTACACTTGAGCCCATTGCTGCTGCCCCTGTGTCAGACCACCTCATTGAGGCAGCCTTCCTCCACTTTACCAAGCATCATGTCCTTCTCCAGGGACTGGGCCCTCCTGACAACATGTCCAAAGTATGAAAAATGAAGTCTCACCATCATTGATGCTAAGGAGAATTCTGGTTATACTGCTTCCAAAAAACAGATTTGTTTGTTTTTTTGGCAATTCATGGTACTTTGAATATTATTCTCCAATCTTCCTTACTAATTTTCCAACTTTCACATGCATATAAGGCTATTAAAAATACCTTGGGTTGGGTCAGGCATACTTTAGTCCTCAAACTGACATCTTTGCTCTTCAACACTTTAAAGAGGTCTTGTGCAGCAGATTTGTCTAATACAATATGTTGTTTGATTTCTTGACTGCTGCTTCCATGAGTGTTAATTGTGAATCCAAACAAAATGAAGTCTTTGACAACTTCAGTCTTTTCTCCATTTATCATATTATCTATTGGTCCAGTGGTGAGGATAGATTGAGGTGCAATCCATACTGAAGGCTCTGGTCTTCATCAGTATTTTAAATCCTCTTCACTTCTAGCAAGCAAAGTTGCATCACATGCATATCACAGGTTGTTAATGAGTCTTCCTACAATCCTGATGCCCTGCTCTTCATATAATCCAGCTTCTCGGGTTATCTGTTCAACATATCGATTAAGTATGGTGAAAGAATACAACCCTGGCACACACCTTTCCTTTAAACCATTCATATTCACTATAGAATGTATCTATATCGTTGTTGTTAAGTGTCCTCAAAACTTGGTTCTAACTCATAATGATGCTATATAGAGTTTCTGAAGAGTGACTGGGGAGTTTGAACCACTGATCTTGCCGTTCAAATCACCCCTGTGCTCCAGTGCTTACCTGGAGCGCCACACCAGGACTCTAGAATGTATCTATGTTGTTGTTGTTGTTAAGTGCTGTGTCATCGGTTCTGACTCATAACGACACTGTTTAGGGTTTCCAAGGAGCAGTTGGTGGGTTTGAACTCAATAGTGCTTAGTAAATACTGGCTCTCCCTTCAGAACTCACAGAGGAGAAAACAGGAACTTACAGAGATGGAGCCTTGGTGGCATCCTGGTTAAGTGCTTGGCTCTTAAAAGGTTGGCATTTCTAACCCAACCACCAGTTATTGGGAGAAAATACCTGACCACCTGCTCCCCAAAAGATTCCAGTCTCAAAAACCATATGGCACAATTCTACTCTGTCCTATATTGTTGCTATTGTTGTTATAAGTCAGAATCAACTCAACAACCCGGGGAAACACCAGCAGAGAAAAATGACAATTGGAAGATGGCCAGAAGAATGGAGAAAACATTTCTAGACTAGAAACCAGGCCCGATGGAGGGTTTTATGGAAGGACAGTGACTCATGCATCAAGAGGGAGGGGTTGTAATTAAACATATACACCTGGTAGGCTTTATGGTGTTCTTGTTTTGGGCTTATGGTTTTCCTTATGTTTTGCCTTTAGGATATTGAGTCACTGATGTCTGAGGGAAATAAGTCTCGAACAGTAGCTGCAACCAACATGAATGAAGAAAGTAGCCGCTCGCATGCTGTGTTCAACATCATAATTACACAGACGCTTTATGACCTACAGTCTGGGGTGAGGGCTTGGGCAGAACTTTTTGGTCAAAGACTCAAAATATCTGAGTGGGTGAAATGGTGCATGGAAGGGTGTTGGGCCTGAGGATGTGGTGTCAGCTCTTGTATGTACTAGATGAGCTGCTTTCCTTTAATTTGTTCAGTCTTGTCCCAAGCCAGGTATTTATTTTTTTATCTACATTTTGAATTCCTTAGTATACTTTATGAGAAATCACTTTGTTTAAAAAACAAAAATCACAAAAGAACAAGAACCACAGAAATGTGGGAAATACCATATTGACTTTGTTTAGTATTTTTGCTTTTACACTGTCTAAAGGAGCTCTGGTAGCATGGCGGTTACGAGTTGGGCTGCAAACAGCAAGGTCAGCAGTTTGAAACTACCAGCTGTTCTGCGGGAGAAAGATGAGGCTTTCTGTTTCCGTAAGGATTCACAGCCTCAGAAACCCTGTACAGGGTCGCTATGATTCAGAACCCACTGCACGGCACATAACCAACCAACCAATGGAAGTATTGTTGTTGTTAAGTGTTGTTGAGTCCGTTCTGACCCATAGTGACTCTGTATAGGATTGCTGAGGAGTGGCTGGTGAGCTTGAACTGCCGACCTTGTGGTTCAAACCAACTTTGCAGTCCAGCGCATTACCCCACGGGGCCACACCAGGTTTGCTGTAGAAGTAAGAGTGAAAATGGCTTTCACTCTTCTTCAGTGTAAGTAAGAGTGAAAATTAATCTTAAGTGAATACTTTTTACCATTAAAACTTTTTAAAGAGAATTGGATTCTTCTTCCCCATCAAACCCAAGTGATGCTGACACACAGTTCCTAATGTGTATCTTTTCATCCTGTCATTCCCCTTAAAACAATCTCTTTTCTGGAGGCTGTTGAAGCAGACAGCACAACCTTTAGCCTACAGAGCACTTTTCCAGAAGAAGAGGAAATTGACTTAAATGTACAGGAATCCTTCAGCTTTCAGAGTATATACACTTACGACCCAGCTTCCCACGCCAGTGTAAACTCTGACTGCATAGTAGGGTTGTTTGTTCAAATAACTTCTCAACAGTGTAGAATCTTCGTGAGAAGTTTGCTCTGTAGGACTAGGATGGGCACATGGCTCTCTTACTGAAAGTGTTGACATCTGTGTGGTTTTCACACTAACGTGTGCCGTTTTCTTTTCTTGTTTCCTACAACTAGAACTCGGGAGAGAAAGTCAGTAAAGTTAGCCTGGTAGACCTGGCAGGCAGCGAAAGAGTATCAAAAACCGGTGCTGCAGGCGAGCGACTGAAAGAAGGCAGCAACATTAACAAGTAAGAGAGCTCTTGAGAACCCGGGCATTGCATTCTACTCGTTACGCGTCCTGGGGGACTTGTATTATGGGGGTCTGTCTGATGCACAGGTTGTTTCAAGCCTATGTGGATGTAGTAATCTGAGTTGTAGAAGAACAACAGCCTGCCTCTGTTGCATGAGGCTTGTTTAAGTAAAGCTGCATAATACAGGCCTCCTTAAAGATTATACGCACACATATGTGTATCATCATCTATAATGTGGTTTTATTGTTAGTGACGTCGAGTCGGATTCTACTCACAGCAACCCTGCATAGGGTTTCCAAGGAGCACCTGATGAGTTTGAACCACTGACCTTGCAGTTCAAATCGATCTTGCAGTCCAGTGTGTTAACCCACAGCACCACACAGCAGAAATCCAATGTGGTCTTTGTTGTTGTTGTTAAGTGTCATTGACTCGGTTGGTTCTAACCTATAACAACCTTGTAAAGAGTTTCTGAGGAGCAGATGGTGAACTTCAGCCGCCAACCTTGTGGTTCAAACTGACTTTGCAGTCCAGCGCATTAATCCATAGCACCACACTTAAGTGCCATAGAGTCCATTTTGAGCCATAGCAACCCTATATAGGGTTTCTGAGGAACAACTCGTAAGCTTGAACTGCAGACCTTGTGGTTCAAACTGACTTTGCAGTCCTGTGCTTAACCCACAACACCACAACACAGGATTCCACAGCGCCACACTAGGTAGATGCAAATCATACTTTCATCAATTAAGTCGTATCTTTAATGAACTGTGGGAGCTTATTTTGAAAGAAAATCTGCTTTGAATCCAAATATTGATATTTAAAATAGCAATATCGTTTTAAAAGCAAAAATAATGGTTGCTGTTGTGTGTTGTCGAATCAGTTTTGATTCATAGCGACCCTGTATAGAGTTTCTGAGAGTGGCTGGTGGATTTGACCTGTCAACCTTGCAGTTAGCACGGTTATCAGTTCAGTGCTTGCCCTACAGCACCACACCAGGGCTCATTGAATTACTACCATGTTGAAATACTATTTGCCTTGAGTTCCCACAGTATGCATAAGTTTCCTATGGCTGTCAAAGGAAAACGCTACAGACTTATGAAAGTTGGAATGTTTTGTCTCAAAGATTTGGAGGGTAGAAATCCAAATCGTTGTACTGACTGAGCCTTGTTTCCTTCCTAGTCTCTACGGGGCAGATTCTTGTCTCTTCCAGCTTCTAGTAGCCCAGGCATTTCTTCAGACGACCCTCTTCTCTGTGTTTCTTTGTCTCTGTGTATCTTCACCTCTTTCAGGAGAGCACCATTCATCTAGGAGTAGGACCCACCCTACTCTATTGTGACCTCAGGCTGACTGATATCTTCAAAGGCCCTATTTCCAAATAAGGTCACACTCGTAGGGACCAGAAGTTAAAATGTCTGTTTTGGTGCCAGGGAGGAACAATAATCCAATCCATCATAGACTAAAAGACAGCAAGGTGGTGAAGGATGTGTTGTAGAGCTTTCCAGGTTAAAACAGGAGATGCAGGCATGTACATGGAGAGCACAGCAAAGGAAAGGCCTAGACAGACGCTGGACTTGCTCTGTTCAGTGATGCCCTAACCCAGCAAAGGGGTCCTTGTGTCTCAACACTTAAGTAGTCTGCTGCGAGTTAAAAGGTCAGTAGTTCAAATCCCAGTTATCTCTTCTGCAAGAGAAAGATCTTTTGATCTGCTTCCAATAAAGATTGTTATTGTTAATGCTGTCAAGTCAGTTCCGACACATAGTGAGCCGTATAAGGTTTCCAAGGAGCAGGTGGTGGGTTTGAATAACCACATTCTGGCAGTTAGCAGTCCAGTACTTATTCTGCAACCTAGTAGACCCTGTGGAGCAGTTCTGCTCTGTCACATGAGGTTGTTATGAACAGGAGTCATCTTGCTGGCATCTAACAATAATAGCAACAGTAAACTGGGCAGGTGAAGAATGTGCAAAAGAGTGGAAATAAATAAGACTGGAAAGATAAACAGACACCAAGTCCTTATGGATTGGAGAATTGTATGTGCTCCTGATATTCCAGGGGAAGCCTTGTTGCGTTTGTGCATGGAAGCCCACAGAGTTTGTATTTATGAGTGTGCCTTCAAGCCAGACCACTTTGGTTTCATCCTGACTCCATCACTTACCTAATACGTATATCATGGACAAGTGATTTAACCTCTCTCTGCTCAGTTTCTCTCATCTCTAAAATGGGAACAACAGTACCTACGTCATAAAATGAAATGACGATCATGTGCTCAGGACAATGCCTAGTACAGAGGATGTGCTGAATGAATATTGATTGTGATAGCTCTTGTTTTCATCATCATTATTTACAGTATTCCAAGTTCAGCAGAGAGTTGTTTAGTCTATGCTTGCAATCTTTTGGGTAGCACTGGAATCACTTGGAATTTAGCTTAGAACAGAATGTGACAAGAGGTAACATAGGAACATATTTTTGCAGCCTGCATTTCAAAATGATCTCAGCACATTATGGTTTTAGCAGACAGCAGTTTAAAATTAGAAATAAAATAGAGGCCCCTCTATCAGACGGACACAGCCACACTCCCAGAGAAAGACTGCTGCTTTAGAAAGTTAATCTTTCAGTCATCTCGTCTCCTGCTCAGATCACAAAGGATTTTGCTATATTTCATGACAAGGCGTTATAAGATTCCAGGCTGTGTTACAGCTCTGTGTTCCATAATGAACCCAAACTAGAGTGGCAAAGCAGGAATGGGGTGTGAGGAGACAGGTTTATAAGAAAGAATTGGCACCCTGCTTGAGATTCGCTTATTGGTCCTGAGCTATGCCGGTGTATTGCCTAATGGCACTTGTTAAGTGCCATCGAGTTGGATTCAACTCATAGCAACCCTGTATAGAGTTTCCAAGGAGCAGCTGGTGAGTTTGAACCACTGACCTTGCAGTTCAGACTGATCTTGCAGTCCAGTGCATTAACCCACAGAGCCACAGCAGGACTCGAGTGTGGTCTTTGTTGTTGTTGTTAACTGTTGTTGACTCGGTTGGTTCTGTACAGGGAATTCTGTACTGTGGACTTGAGGGAATTTCGATTATATGGTGGAACTTCGAAAAAGTTCCATTAACTTTTATTTCCCTTTTTCCAAAAACATTTTGAAACCCCTTTGTATGTGTGTGGCCATGATAATGCAACGATCGCTAGCTTTTATTGAACTCTTACAGTGTACCAGGCACGGTTCTGAATATTTAATGATCATCTGTTCCTCACACCAGCATTGTAAGATAAGCCCGTTAGCTCCATTTTACAGATGAGGAAACCAGTGCAGAAAGTGGTTAATTAAGTTGTCTAAGGTCCCCCAGCTGGAGACACGCTGCATCTTATATTTGAATGCAGGGGGTCTGGCTCTTGCCAGGGTGCTCACGTGTTCCATTTGCCTAGAAGAATCCTGATATTTCTGTTCCACAGTAAATATTAGGAGTACCCCATTAAATTTTCAGAGGTGTCTTCATTTGGACATTAAATTATGTAGTGCCCCTTACTGGGCCACCTCAAGGCTACCGGATGTTGTTGTTGAGTGCCATTGAGTGGGTTCCAACCTATAGCAACCCTGTACAGGGTTTCCAAGGCTGTAAATCTTTACGGGAGCAGAAAGCCTCATCGTTCTCCCGTGCAGCGGCTGGTAGTTTCAAACTGCTGACCTTAAGGTTCGCAGCCCGATTCGTCACCACTGTGCTACCAGAGCTCTCCTTCAAGACAACCGGATAGCATGCCTCTTTTCCATAGTGACCTGTTGAATTATTGACTCTGCCCACCATCAGACTGTCTTTCTTATTTAGATGTTAGCTGTTTCCCAGATGGATATGTTGTTACTTACAACTAGATCGTGAGATTTGTTTTCATAGCTCTTTTTAGTTTTTGAGCACATTCACATTTTGAACATCACATTTGTTTGACGCTCATAACAGGTATTTTTATCTCTGTTTAAAAAGATGAAATTTTTGATGCTTGGATATATGGTAAATAACATTAATAAAAACAAGCAAGCATTTGTTATAATTTTGTATCAAATACAAAAATAATGTAGACTTCGTGGTAGGCAGAATGATGTCTCCCCCTCTAAGGTGGACCACATTCTAATTCCCAAAACCTCTGAGTGTGCACCTTACATGGCAAATGGATTTTGCAGAAAAGATTAAGTTAATGATTTTGAGATGGAGTCCAGGCAGGCTCACCCAATGTAATCACACATGTAAGTGAAAGAGAGGTGGGAGAGCCAGCCAGGGTCGGGGAATGTAGTGGGAGAAAGGCATGATCGGCCATTGCTGACTTGAAAGATGGAGGAAGGGACCATGAGCCCCTTCCTCCATATAGAAATGGGGCTTGGGCTGAGGAGTAGGGAGGGAGAGGACCAGATATTCCCCCAGAGCCTTTGGAATGAACACAGCCTGGCTGGCACTTCAGTTTAAGTTCAATGAAACACAAACTCTGGACTTCTGATCTCCAGAACAGCAAGATAATAAATGTGTGGTGTTTAATTTGTTGCAACATGATTCCTGCCCTTGAGAAACACAAAGTTTAGGGCATCAGCAAGTCACTTCATATTAAAAAAAAAAAAGAAAGATTGAGGAAACGCTACATATCCCAGTGTTTAAGGTGTAACTTTTTTTTTCATAACTTTTTTACCATCCCAAGGACATTTGCTAAGTTGTTCTATGCTTTTGTCAAGATCGCTGGCTAGAAGAGTATAGCTGCGTCTGAGCCCAGTCCCCTGACTTTTATTGTTGCTGTTAGTTGCTGTCCAGTGGCTCAAATGCATGCCAACCCCGTGTAGAACAAAACAAAGTGCTTCCCAGTCCTGTACCATGTTCCTGACCCTTGGTGTGCCTAAGTCCATTGTTGTGGCCACAGTGTATGTGGAGTGCCTTCCAACCTACGGGCTCATCTTCCAGCACGTCAGACAGTGCTCTGTTGTGGTCTAGAGGGTTTTCATTGGTTACATTTCAGAAGTGTATCGCCTGGTCTCTTCTTAGTCTGCAAGCTCTATGAAAATCTGTCTATCATGAGTAACCCTACTGGTATTTGAAATACCAATGGTATAGCTTCCAGCATCACAGTAATGCTCAAGTTACCATAGTACAACAGGCTGACAGATGCATGATGGAAGCGTTCTAAGCCTTTGACTGCTAAAACGAAAGAAATCTCTGACATGTTTCCTAACCTTCCTTTCGGCCTACTTTTTGGTCTTCATTTGATGGACCATTAATAATCCTCTTAACCAGGCCTGTCAGGAACTTCACACAGACATTAGTGTCTGCTTAATGGCTGATGGATTCGGAAACTGCAGCTCTCCTTAGGTTCTTAAGAGCTTTAAAGCACCCACTATTCTTTTCGTTTGAAGAACTAGCAGTTCTGCGTTGGCCACCCTACTGTCGTGTTATGTTTGAGGCACGGGCAGTACAGCTTATCTGTAGCCATCTTTATAGGCAAATGCGAATCTGAAAAAAACAAGTTGTTGCCCCACTTGTCTACTGATGGTGGAGGGAGGATGGATTTTTCCAGCCCTGGACTATAAAGTCGGTTTGAACCTCAAGGTCGGTGGTTAAAACTCACCAACCGCTCCTTGGAAACCCTATCTAGTGGTCACTACAAGACAAAACCAACTCAGTGGCATGTAACAACAACAACAGAGTCTGGCTATTTCAACTTCTTTAAGAACAAATTTAGAGCCTAGAGCTCTCCCTTTAGTGCCCCTAGAAATGCCACTCAGAATGGGTTCATTTCCATTGCTGTGGTTCTATATGAGAGGACTGCAACAGGCTCACATTAGAAGCAGGCTGCCACACATGAGTCAGATCTTGTCTCAATGATAAAAACAAAAACCCATTTCATCCCCCAAATGTATTTTCATATGAAGCGCCAATGTTATTTTAAAGTTATTAATGGTGACCCTTGAGTGACTGGGCTCAATTCAGTTTCTAATGAATTAAAATAATTTCTGCTGCATTTGGAAATGAAAATGCCTAGGACTGTTCAAACAGTTGTTTCCAACTGAAAATTAAAACCTTTTTCTCACCCTAGAATGTGGCTTTCTGTGTCTGGCTTTTCTTACTTAGCAAAAATGTTTAAGACTCTTGCAAGTAGCTTAAGCTGGAGAAAGATGAGGTTTTCTGCTGCCATAAAGGTTTACAGCCTTGGAAACCATATACAGGGTCACTGTGATTTGGAACCGACTGGAAGACAAGCAGTAGTGGCAGCAGCAAGTAGCTTAATATTGTCAGAGTTCATTTGTGTTGTATGTATTATGTATGTATGTATGTATGTATGTATGTATGTATCATAACTCCAGTCCTTTTTAGTACTGAATAGTATTGTGTAGACGTAACATCTTTTGTTTACCCATTTGTACGTGTGAATTGTTAACAAAAGCTGCTATGAACAAACATTTGTATGGACACGTTTTCATTTTTCTTGTTCAACTTTGACATCTGTTTACTGTGATGTGTGTGTA